AAACTGAGCCCTTCATGTTTGATTTGAAGATATGATCAATGAACCCAGCCCAGCTAGGAGATCAGTTTAAAATATACAGTGAATATTTCAATTTAAAAGGTTATTAGAGCAAGAAACCAATTGCTTTTAGTGACCCTCCAAATACTCCTTCCCCTGAGAGAGTGGAAATAAAGAGATAAAATCTACACTCAGGGATTAGGACAGAAGGAACATCACCCATATCTCACTTTACACAACTCCAGAAGTGTGTGAAAAATCTACCAATTCTACATGGAGCATTTTAAAAGGAAAGCATTAATTTTTGTGACCCTGTGTCAGGACTTCCACTGACAGACTTTCAAGGTTCATGGTAATATCTACAGCATATTTGCAAGTATTCCTAAGTCAGTGTCACAAAGGACTTAGAGAGTCTCATCCAAGAGTTACATAAGATCTTAGGGTGGCAAAACCTATTATTCTTGGAATTCCACCAGGGTTAATGATATCTCACTCCTCAGAGTGTCACAAAATTCCTTCACCTTGTCACCAAAAGACCTGCTCTTTTCAGTGGATCTGAGCTATTTTTTTAAAAAACAATTACACTCATCTAGTAATGCAACACAACCCTCCAGGAGGTACTATGTCCCTATTTAATATGGACAGTCTGTCAAAATGTCCTAAGAAAAAATAATTTAGAATATCAGGATGTATAACTGTTATCTCATGGTGGTTTTGATTTCATTCCCCACATTACACTAAGCTAAAACATTTTTTTTTCATGGAACAATTGGCTTAAGAATGTCTTCCTTTCACTCATGTCCATAAAGTCTGTTCTCCATTTTTAAATTGGGTTCCTCTCTTGGCATTAAGTTTTGGGAGTTTCTTATATATTCTGAATATCAACCACTTATGTACTCTGTATATCATACATATTTGGTAACATGTGGCAGCTTGTCACTGTTCTCATGTCAGTGTTTATGGGCAGAAGTATTCTAGTTTTCTGTAATAGCATTTTTAATTATTTTTTCTATGCATTTGGCTTCATGGCCAAAAATATACATTCTCATATCTTGCATCATTTCCTTTCCTTTGTCATTTAGTAGTTACGTAGCATCAGATATTACATTATGTATTTCATACATTTGAGCTAATGTTGATAGCAGTTAAATAGGTAAGGTCTTAGATTCATTCATTAGTAAGAGGATATTTAATTTTCTCAAAGCCATATGTTGGAAAGACTGTACTTTTCATTATTGCAGTTTTGTCAATCATTCTCTGAGGGTACATGCTTGTGGGGATTTATGTGTAGAAGCTCTATCTTCTTTCATCAGTCTGTGCATCTTGTTTTTATATCCATACCAAGCTCTTCTGATTTTACAGCTTTATTGTATGGCTTGAAGTCACATACTATAATGTTTCTTGCTTTCTACTTGTTGCACAAAATGATTTGGGCTATTTATTGCATTTGTATGTGTGTGTTTGTGTGTGTTTGTGTGTGTGTGTGTGTGTGTGTGTGTGGTTCCATACAGATTTGAAATATTTTTTTCCTAGCTTGTGAAGAATGAATCCAGAAATGAAGCTACAACTTTGACTTTTTGATATGGATCATATTAAATCAGTAGATTTCTTTGGACTTCCTGGGCTTTTCAACAATATTGATTCTTCCCATCCATGAACATGGGATGACTTTTCAAATTTTGTGTTTTCTTCAAATTACATTGTCACTGGTTTACATTTTCTTTATAGAGATTTGTCAACTCTTGTGTTCAATTTGTTCCTATGAATTTAATTTTTTAGCTCATCAAGGGCAATTACCTTCTTGATTTCTAGCTAAGATAAGGTCTTATTGGTATATAAGTGTTTCTTATGTTCTGTGCTAATTTGGTATCCTGAAACTCTGCTTGATGCATCTTTTTTCTAATTGCTTCTTTTTTTGTGTGAAAGTCACTGAATTTCTCTACAATGCTGTCTAAAAACCATGACACTGTGACTATCTGTCCCTGATTTCAATGATCTCTGTATCTTTCTCTTGCCAAATGGCTGTGACTGAGGATTCCAGCACTCTCTTGGACAGTTCTGGTGAAACCAGGCATCCTTTTCTTGCACTAGATCTGAAACTCAAAGCCTTCTCATTTTTCACATTTGATAAAATCACAGCTGTTACCTTACTGCAAATGACCTTCATTATGCTATAGTACATTCTAGGTACAAGTAATCATTTCAGTGATTTCTATCATAAAGGGATGTTATATGGAATGCCTTTCTAAATCATTTGAGATGACCCTATAAGCCATGTCTTTTATTCTGTTGCTATGTCATATCTTGTTTATTGATTTGCAAATACTAAATCATCTTTAAATTCCATGGACAGATATCATTTATCATAATGAATAACCTCGTTATTGTGATGTTAGGTAGCTTTAGATTATCTGGTGTTCTGTTGATTAATTTCCCGTTGATCTTTATCACACTGTCCAGGAGTTCTTTTGTTGTTGTTGCTGGCTCCTTATCAAGTTTTATATCAATGTGTTCAGATAAATAACTTATTTTTAAGTAACAATGATAATTGATGTTATTTATTTTTCTTTAAACGTGGAAAGAAGTTAGCAGTGAGGACATTCTTTCCTGGGGTTCAAGTAGGGGAAGTTGGTTATCAGCCTTGTGACTTATTCCTGACCTATTTCGGTTTTCCACTGCCTTGTGATTCAGTTTTAGGAGGTGATTTTGTTGAGGAATTTATCCCTTTCTTCTCCATCACCCAATTGATTGGGACAAAGGTGACCATAATAATCTCTAACAATGTTTTATATTTCTGCAGTGCCATTTGCAATGTTTTCCCTTCCATCTCTGATTTTTATATATTTCAGTACTCTCTTTCCCTCCTTTTTGCCATGGGTTTATTTTGTTTAGATTTTGGAAGAGCTAGCTCTGTGTTTCATTGATGTTTTGTATATTTTACTCTTTATTTCATTCATTTATTCTTTGATATTTATTTATGTCCTTCATGTTGGGTTTAATTTGTTCCTGTTTGTGAGTCATTATGAAGCAGGTGTTGGTTGTTTCTCTGAGATCTTTCTCTCTTTTTGATGTACAAGTTGATTGCTATGAATTTGCCTAGTAGTACTTCTTTTGCTGCCTTCTAATGGTTTCAGTATGTTTGTACCCATTTCCTTTGTTTCACAATTTGCTTTAAACTTCAGTTTTGTGTTCTTCCTTGATCCATTGGTTCCTCAAGAAGAAGATAATTTCCATTTCTTTGCACAGTTTTTCTTGATATTGACCTCTAACTCTATTTTCTTTTGTTCATAAAGGATGCTCAGTAAAATTTCATTTTTTTTCAATTCATGGAGACTTGTTTTTGTGGACTTCCTATGGTCTATCCTAGAGGATGTTCCACATGGTGGTGAGTAAACTGTGTATCGGGTAGCTGGTGTGTGGAATATTCTGTAAGTGTCCACTAGGTGCACTTGGTCTCATTGGCAATCATTTCACAATAATGAAATTTTTATGAAACATAAAACAAAATTTCATAATGAAATGATAAAAATGACAATAGTCATTACACCATGTATTGTTATCTTCAAAGTGGTTACTCAAGAGTACAAGGCATAGACCAAAACGATTCTCACTAACAAGAAACAAATGGGTAATAGCATAAATCTTTCTTTTCCATGTACTAAGCTAAACTAATGCAGGTGTTTTCTTTTGATTTCTTTTTCTAGATGAACTGTGCATTGTTGAAGGTAGGATGTTACACTTCCCAACCAATTTTGTGTCAGAATCCATTTCTATCACTCTCTTTAAGCCTATTAGTACTTGTGTATATATTTGAGTACTCTGATGTTGAAGATATATATTTATATATATATAAAACATGATATTGTAGACAAGACAGTACATATGTATACACACAGTTTTATTCAAATTAAAGTTCACTATATATATGGTATATATAATTTCCTTTTGGTATATGGACCCTTTCATCATTTTATAGTGACTCTGTTTGTCTCGTTTTGCTGATTGTTTGGCTTTAAAGTCTGTTTTATCTGGTATTAATATCTGATATCTGCTTCCTTTTTGTGTTCCCTTTGCGTGGAATTTCTTTTTCAATCCCTTCACATTCAGTCTATGTGGGTCTTTAGAGGTCAAGTGAGTTTCTTTTAAGGAAGTTATAATTGGGTTTTTTATTTACTCTTTCAGTCTTGGTATAGTAATAGAAGAGTTTAACAGTTACTTTCATAGCAATTACTGAGGAGGAAATTTTTTCTTTTGCCAATGTATACTCTGTTTTCTAGTTTAATGTAGCTCCTTTCCTTTAAGCCTTCTCATAATCTTCTTTCATTGATTTAGTTTTACATTTGATTTCTTGTATTTTTTATACTTCTAATATTCACCAATACCTTATTATTGTAGATGAAATTGATATTTTAATGTTTATAGTTTAACATATCTGGACACTGATCCTCCTAGAGAGTTTCTATTTCATGATTATTTTCCTGATTTATATGGAAGTTTGCAGGTGAGGGATCACAATTATTTCAATGTTTTCTGGTGTCAGGAATACAGAAAGACTTTTTAAATAATTCTAGCACCCCAGTCTCTCCCCATCATTTTTTACAGATGGAACATTTTTATTGTATCCCAAATATCCCTGTTGGGACATTTTCACAGAGTATTCAACCAGCCCGTCTCACCTCTCAAGGGTTGCAACGTAGAAAATTTGCACTAAATCGTAAAAATCTGAATCCATGATGATGTCACTCATGTTTTTCTCTCTAACCATCCCATGCCCGACAACTCTGCAGTTATGTTAAGTAAAGAATCATCTCTTATTCTATTGCACACCCAGTGTTTAAAATAGTTGTGCGTTACAAATTCAACAAATTCTCTTCACAGATGTTTATGTTAGCATATGATATCAATTTATTTAATCAATCAAGACAGAGAGATCAAGTAAAGAGAAGATGGGATGGGAAGGAAAGTCAAGAAATAGGTTCAGGAAATAGGTTCAGGAAATGGGATCAGCACATGAATGATTCAGTTGTCTTTGAGAAGATTGCAAATACTCCTGTCACGTTATCATCTGTGAGAAAAGAAAAGAGAAAATTATTGAAGTGTAGCCGAGATCATATTAGCAGCATCATCTTCCTGAGAGTGGAAATAAAAAGTAAAAATCTATAAATGAAGAACAAACTGTAGACCCGGATCAAGTTTTTACAGACTTCTTGGTAAAAAGGGAGAATTTCGTAGCATTTTTTAAAAACTCGCATGGTTTTAATTGCTGATAAATACAACAATGGTATAAAAATCATTTCATAGGAATCCATGAATACATAGGCATGCATGGAATCTGTCATAAACACTTCCTTTGGAGAGCATTAATATTTGCATGACCCTGGGTCAGGGATTACCTTGAAAGTTTCCAAAGTATAAATTAATATCAATCCACTGGCAAGTGTACTTATGTTTATGTCATAAATACCTTCTAGAGTCATATCTAGAGTTAACAAAGATTTTGGTACTACAAGGTTCATTCATCACCCTGGGATTCACCAGGTCTAACTGTATTTCAGAGTGGAGAAATACCACGTTTAGCAAAGAGTGTTCGTATGGTCACCACAGTAAAAAAGCCCTGTTATTTTTGGTGGATCTGCATTACTTTTTCAATGTTTATGCACATGCAGTAACCAAAGTCATAACTGACAGAGGGGCTATTTGCCTAATAAGCATGTCCGATTTCCTAAGGAAAAGAGCCCAAGAAGTTTAAACGATCAGGAGCTATGCGTACTGTCTTTCTACTCACCCAAGCACTGTCTATTCCGGGCAGGTATCTGAGAAGGAAAAGATGAGACAAACAAGGCAGTTATTCGAGAAATCTAAGCACTTGCAATAGCAGTTTCATTAAAACATGATTTTTGGAATAGTCATTCCCAGCCAAGGAGAGTACTGATTATGTTTGCATTCCAAATGAATTTTGACATCATCGGATGCAGTTGGGTGACTCTACCTGTTGCGATGACATTTCTGATGTTTTCAGTCGGAATTCCCTTCTCCTCAGCCAACTGGACAAACTTCTGCTTTTCTTCCTCCGTCAGGCTGTCCCTTTTTGCTGCATTGCATGGACAACAAAGCAAGGCAGGTGTGCTTAGCATGCTACTTGATTTCTAAAGCAACCCCCTGGCCACTCTATGCTGGTGTGACCTGGGGAATCCCACCATCTCCATCCTAACTCCTTCCAGCAGGGATATCTTAAGTGACCCTGGGTGGAGTCCAGACACTGAACATCACATCAACTACCAGTTCTCAGGACTACTGAGGACACAAAACTTCATTCATGCTGTGAATCTCAGTGTCCCCCAAATTGTAGGCAATCTGCAAACACATCAGGGTATGGAGGCAGTTGTGTCTAAGAGCTGAGAAAGTGCACCCTGCAGTTTCTCATTTTCCTCTTTCTATGTTCTCCAGTCATTCCCTGGTTTGGTGGGCCCTTCGTCAAATGAGGAGTGACAATGTTCCCAGCTTCTCCCAAGCACATTAATCCACCTCATTTAAGCAATGAGGACCAGAAAAACAAATATGAAAAATAAACCTCCTTCATCTTTCTTAAGCTAAGTTTCACCCAGTTTTCCTGAAATATCTATGTGTCTCATTCCAGTGCAGGCCAAATGTTTCTCGTGCTGTCCCTGTGAAGTTATCAGCAGTCAGAAAAATTCATCGTCTGGGAGCTTTGTCCTTGAGGAACTGAATCTGATACGCTGTTTCTTTACAGAGCAGCAGGTTCGAGTTTTGTTACTGGCTAAATGTCTCAAAGTGGTGAGGATGGGAAAACACAGTCCTGACTATGGGAAAATAACGCATGGAATCCAAATTTTAAATTTTACTTCATTCGGTGACATAGCCCAATTATGGTTGGCATTTCTTTCTGAGACTATCTTGGAGTACTTTTTGAGTCTTTGTTCTTTTCCATTTTTAGCAAACCATCTTGTTAGGACCCCAGAGAGTAGGGATATCTTTAATTTCATAGACAACTTCTCAGTACCCTTGATGTCAGCACGGTAAAATATTCAATCCTGTGTGTGAACACATTTCTAGACTGGGGCATATAAGTAAATAATACATGAACACACTTCTGTCTGCAACTGAGAACATGGGTCCAGTTCATGTAAATGTTGTCTATACTACAGAGACATTGCTCCAGTACTTACCAGCAATTAAAACCGCATTCGTTTTTGTGCCTTTTTCATCTACGTTCATGTCACTAAATTGTGTGATATATTCTGTGCTTTCAACAACTGTGAAATAGTTTTTACCAGCATCTACAATTGAAAAAAGAGATTAAAAACTCAGTATCATTAGAATTTACCCCCCTTTTCCCCACACCCCTGCCAGCATTTGTTATTGGTGGATTTCTTGGTAGCAGCCATTCTTTCTGGGGTGAGGTGGAATCTCAGTGTTGTTTGCATCTGAATCTCTCGAATGACCAGTGATGTTGAGAAACTAGAGGCATTTGTATCTAAGTGGATGCACATTGAGGACAAACTCTTAAGTGAAATAAATAGGACACAGATGTGTAAATACCGAATAGTTTCTCTAGTGTGAGAAACTGAAAGTGTAAATAAGGATCAAAATGTATAATAGATAACGTGAAATAGGAAGCAAAGGTCCAAAGGGGAAGGGGAAGTGGGAGGGGTAGAGGGAAGGAAAGAAGGGAAAGGAATAAATATGAGAAAAGAAAAAAAATGGAAACAAAGTTTTTGTGAACTGGGAGGGGTGGAGTGGTTGAAGGGAGGGCAGGGGAACGGGAAAAAAATAAGAACCAAGACAGACTATGTAAAGGTGCAAATTTCCAATGATGAATATCATTATATTGTATACTTAAAATGTAACAATAAAATTAATGAATGAAAAAAAGAAAAACAATTTACCTCCCTTGATTAAACGGTATTTATTTGTAGTATGCTAGTGTGGATTCCTCCTTCAATAATAACCTATTACATAAACCTCCCTCCAACTTGTTAGAGTCCTCGCTGTGAGTTCCGCTCAGGGAGGGACACATTTTACATACTGACACCATCACATGGTGAACATTTGCATCTTTCAAAATGTATAAGTACTAGCACACCACACTGTGTTTTAAGCTGTCAAAATTGCTAGTGCAAGATCCATAGACAAATGGTAGGTGAATGAAACCGCCTTTTATGAACAAGTGAATCAAAATCAATTATTAAAGTTTCAAGAATTTTATCACTCAATTTTCAAGCCTCGCCAATATTGTATTGTAATTCCATGAATATAAATTCAAATGTAACATATTAACATATACTCGAAAGTTATCATTTACCATTGCAGTAGTAATAAAAAGAGGTGCTGGTTACATTATTGGAAAATGCTAGACATATAGGTTATGCAGTTGCAGCTTAATTCTGCTGCTAAATTGTCATATTTATATAAATTAAAATGATTTCAGCCCCAAATTGGAAAATCACTGTGTATATTTCTTTCCCTGCAATGAAATATTTAGTATTTGTCTATTTAATATACAGGATTGGTTTTTGAAAATTATTTTCAGTCACAGACATAGAAGTTAATATTATTGCTCTAACTATTTTAACTGAAGTTCAAATTATTTGCTACTCATTTTGACTGTTTTCAGTGTGACTTTAACTCTTAAGCTTTGGGATTTAATGTAATCTTATTGTACCTCAAACTTGGATTATCTATGAAATGACTTTTAACACTTCAATAATTCACTGAATAAATTTATTCAGTGAAAGGAAAATATGGATGTATTTGCTAATTGGATAAGAGATGAATTTTGAAAGAAGATTCACCATTTTAATTAGTTTTATTTATATCTCTTTCTTTAAAAACCATATAAAATACAAGGGGGTGATCAAAATTATAATGAATGTTCCAGTTTTTTAGAAATTTTTTCAGTAAAAGATTCATTGTCCTAAGTCCACCTCTCAATGCCTCCCCTTGCATTGAACACACTTATATCCCGTCATTCTTGCCATTTTTGAAGCAGTTCTGCAGTCTTTCTTGACTGTCCTGAATAGTTGTGATCAAAACTCTATTGAAGGCTGGGCCAGGGATTTAGCTCAGTGGTTTCACCACCTGCTGTGCAAGCACAAGGACCAGAGTTTGATCCCTAGTACCAAAAACAAACAAACAAACAAACAAAAAAACTCTGTTGAAGGCTGCTGGCAGGGACCATGTGGTGGGTGTGCTTGAGGAGAGGGCAGTATTTTGAGGGAGATTCATAGCAATGTATCTGTTTAGGTAAAGGACTTTTTAGAATTGAACACGTAGTATGTATCCATCCTACTTCCCACATTTTCTGGGAATTCTATTCATTTACCATTTATGCTCACATTCTATGCATGCATTTAGATGACATGGAATATATCCTGGCTGTGTACAATTCACTGAATTTTTAGAAGTTTCACTAGCTTTTCCCAGGTTGCTTAAGGAATTAGTAGCAGAAATTGTTCTAGAATTTCAACTTCCAGATTGGTGAGAGTGAGACACAGCCATGAATTTGCCCACATCTTACGATCTGAGTCATGTAGTCAACCTACAACATCAAGTACTCACAGTCGGTGATGTAAACACCACTTTTTTCATCCTTTACTCCCACTACAGTGAACTCTTGGCACACTCTGTCCAACCTGAAAGACAAACCAACACAATGGTGCTTATTCCTCATTATCCTGTCCCCTCCTGAGGAACTGTGGCATTTATGACATTTGAGGTGCTGAAAATAATAGGATATGTCAGGGTTTCCTTCACGTAATCTCCCCATTGTATTGGTGCTTCACCATTCGACCACAGGTTTGCTCAACCTTGGTGAGCATGGGCTGTTGGATTGGGTGACTCAATGGTGTCCCACCAGCCTTCCTATGCTGGGCACGATTCCCGCCAGCACCTGTGTCCCTTCCATTCCCTGAGTTCTCAGCCCCAACTTCCACAACCTGAGATGTTTACAACTTTTGCATGGTAGTGGGCACACAGTCCCACATCACAAGAAAGGTTTTTGCCGTGTTTGACATGAACTGACTTCACTCTTCTAAAAGAGATTCCCCACCTTTGCTCTAAATGCTCTTGGGGATAATGATGCTGAAGTCCTTGCTCTCTAAGATACTCTTCAACTTCTCCTAATTCAGGTGACAATTAATCAATAAGAAGACTCTGATAGATATACATTGTAATGGTGGCAGAAACATGTACACGCCTATATTCTATCCATCCATCCACCAACACCTTGGTCAGCACCCTATCTCCGTATGTTTCTACCACCATTGTGATCTATAGCTATTATTATTTAAAGATCTGGGGAACACAGTGGTAAATTGATATCTCAATACTGTAGCTCACATTTGACTATAGTATTGTTCATTTTCACATTAGACATGAGACCCCATGGCAGTGGTCGGATGGGTCATTCCATTAGATCAGGGTAAATTTTACTTACTTGACAAAAAACCTGATAGAGAGATTTCTGCATTCGTCTTGACATTCTATGTGGCGGAAATAGGCTCTCAGTTCACCCCCCTCTTCGATCTTCTCTGCCTTATCAGCCGCTATGTAAATGCTGCGCCAGTCACCGTTGATCTACAAAGGAAAGTTCACACTGGGAAGGTTAGCGATGTCTTTATTCTGGTCATGTTAACACTGACACATCACGCCATACTTCAGCGCAACAGGAAAATATAAATCTGACCCTATTGGATAAGTGCGTGGTCATGGTCCCTAGGAGAAAAATCATAGAAGATGCCATAGGAATGCTTCAGATGCACACAGATTGCTAACCATTTAGAGTTTTTGAAATAGCAAAGACTATGTATTTGAATACTATGGACACTGAAAACGTTCATTTAGGTACCTTAGGTTTTGCATTTAGAGACTATTCTGATAGAAAACGGAGAGATCTCAAAAAGGAAAAGATTCAGGAATAGAGACATGCACGGAAGAACATAACATGCTTATAAAATTGAATGAACCAAGGAAAATAATGACAGATACTTAGAAACGCGGACACACAAAAACCTCACTCAAGAGCAGGTTATCCAGGCTACCTTGACAGGGTCCAGGTGTTGACTGGCACAAGCCAGACCGACTGCCAGAGCGAGCGTGAGAATCTTCATCTTGTTGGAGTGGCGTTTCTTCTCCAGCGGAAGATTGGAGGAGGAGAGATGCTGAAGGGAGTCGGAGCTGCCGTCTGTTTTATAGCGCTGCTCCATTGGCATGAGGCATAATGAACCAGTTGTTCATCCCACAAGCATCAGTCTTAACATTTCCTGATTGGACACGATGGACTTTTATGTAATTTTCTATGATCATTTTAATGACATTGGCTTCAGGAGAAGTTTAAGTTGGCCGGTACAAGTGACCTTTTCAGTGCTTGAGAGAGAACACAGTACATAGGGAACATTTCAAGGGTATCTGTGCCATTTTCTCTTACATCCCAATTACTAGATGGAAGGTAAGTCACAAAATAGACATGCCAATTCCTATATTACCCCTTTAGCTTCTGAAAAATAAACATGGCACCCTCTGGTTTGGCCAAAGGAGAACACAGCATCTATACCTTGAAATGCCAGTGCCTGCACATCTCTCAGGAGTCTGCTTATATTCAAGTAAACGAGGCAAAGCTGGGCTTTATGGTTCAGGCCTGTAAACACAGCTCCTTGGGGAGACTGAGACAGGAGGGTCACAGATTCAAGCCCAGATTGGCCACTTTCTGACTTAGTGAGACCCAGACACAAATTAAAAAATAAAAGGTGCTGGGGATATAGCTCAGTGATAAAGTGCTGAGTTCCAATCCCAGTGTGTCCAAAAATAAATGGACTATAAATGAAAATAATAATAAATGAAAATAACAAAATTAAAACTACCATTTATTTTCTTATATCAATTATGAATCTCTCCTTTTTCGTATTAATGTACAATTTTTTTTTTCCAGCTACTCATTTAATTTATCCAGAAGCACTCAAACTGGATTAGAGAAATCAAGGACAGTCATTCTAAAAATAATTCACAGTTTGCTTCACACTAAGTGTGAAGATAGCATCGATTGTAAAAAAAAAAAAAATAATAATAATAAATATGACACACAGTTGGAAGCATAGTGATTACAGTTAGAGAGACAAAGAGGCTGAGCTTTTAGAGATCTCAATTGGGGCATAAATACCAAAGAACAAATTTGCATGCATTCAACGTGAACAACTGATAATTCCTGCATGATGCAGGTGGTAAGAAGACAGTGTGGTGAATGTTTAAGTTTTATTACAGTAAAAGTTACATATCTGTGAATGCCCTTTCAGACCCCACTGACACCCTCAGGGATACTTAGGCTACTGTTTGTGGCTCTCTCTGAACTGCTTCCTGATGTATTTCCCAAGTGTCTTTTTGAAATGTGATCCAAACTACAGCCAGTGCTGCTGCCAAGCACCGTTGAACAGAAAGGCAGGCTCACAAAACTATGAAGATGTGACCTTGTCCATCTTAATCACAGGATCTGGCACCACATAATGGCTGGCTCTTCCTCAGAGACAAAATGACCATGAAAGGTCAATGTTTTGTGTGGGTAAAGGACTTTGAGGCAGCCACAGACCTGTGTCTAAAGCCAGCCAAGTGTATCTAGGTTAAAGCTGTGTGTGTGTGTGTGTGTGTGTGTGTGTGTGTGTTTGTGCCTACACGTGTGTCTTTCTCTAGGTTGTCCAGATGGATTTGAAATGCTGAGAACCTAAGTCCTGGTGTGTCTGTTTCCGTTAGACTGTACATTTACCTTTCCACTCTTCATATTTCCTACCTTATTTGTCTCCAGATGTAAAATTTAATGCAACAAAATGTAGCTAGGAATGTCTACTGTCCCTGAAGACAATCCAAGCAACTCTCAATTTTATATTTTATCTGCAAATTCGTGTCACCATTGAATTTTGTATGATTCTGCATGGTAGGGTAAAGAATAGAGTTTTCCTCAACCCAATCAGACATTTTTCTTTTTCCTTCCATGGCAAATGAGAAACAATGATGACAACAGCTTCAGCTGGGGAAAATAAAGGAAAGGTCCACTGTCCCGCTGATAGGAATATTTCTTTGTCAGTGACAGAATGTTGGTGCCCAGTTGCCATAGCAGCTGACAATGTAGAGGAGATGAAGGAGTGGGGCCCTTCAGGAGTTATGAACGTCACATTCAGCTTTACAGTCGTTTGGAAATCTTCACATTTTTTTGCCAGGTAGATGAAATTTACCTCAATGAAAAGCAACAGAACTGTTTACTTCTTACCCGGGGTCCAGTCTCAAATGTGGGTTAAGATATCGGTTTTGTGGGAGAAACTGAGTTTGTAGGAAGAACCCCTTTCTTAGGCGGAGTGGGGCCTGAACATCATCAGGACCCCCTGTGGAAGCCCTGAGGTGTTTTTCTCAGAGAGCTGGTAGTTGGCCTGTGTTAGTTGAGACGTGTCATTCACTGGAGATACACTAAGGCAGCAAGGAAAGATCTTGCATCCTGAAATGTGTGTCCTTGACTAATCTTAGCTTAAAGAATCCAAGTTCTCACGTTTGTTATGTACTGGATGTAAATGATGTCGTTACAGTGAAGGTTCGCGTCCATGAGAAGTTTTGCAAGGCGTGATTATTCACCTAAAACACGGATAAACAGTGCTGGCTGTGTTTATTACAGTAATGTTTTCAGTCCAAAGTCACACAACTCCTGTGCAGAAATGGGTGTGGAAATCATTTGGCAGATTCCTCAAGAAACTATAACAAAAAATTTCCATTCGGCTCACCTCTTGTCCTTGTAAGCATCAGCCTGAAAGAGGTAAAGGCACCACGTGACAGTGATCTGTACACATTGTTTCTAGCAGCACAACTCATTATATATCACAAAAATTAACTAATAAAAATTAAATTTGAGAAATTAAAATTACTAGAAAATGAGAATTATCAACAAGTGAGGTTCTCCCCCCCTTGTTGATGGCAATGAACAATTATTCGGGAAACTGGAAACAACTATTCCACTCACCATTACATAACCAAGAGATGGGATATTCTAGTCCTATACAAGGTGTCTACATGAATGTTGTCTTAGTTAAAATAGCCTACATGAAGAAAAACAATCCATGAATATACAATTTTCTAAAAGTATAATATATCCATGCAAACCTTCTTAGTGGTAAATGGGAATGAGCTATGCCAACTGCACCATAAATGAATATCACAAAAAAAAAGTTAAATGAATAAACCAGAAAGAAAATTACATGTACATCATGGTTACAGCTTTGTAAAATTTTTAAGAATAACAACATTCTAATGGTTTCATAAACCTGAACAACAGATTCTTCCTAAGAAAGAAAGGAAGGATGAAAGAAGGCAAAAAATATTTGGGAAATAAATGGGCATTTTCATGATGTCAAATGGGGAAAAGTTCCATTCTTGGATATATCTCTGAAAATTATCTATTGGTGTCTTATGGTAGTATATCATTTCTATCCCGAGATACTGAAAACTCATCTTCCTGTTCAATGCAGAATTGAAGCGTGGATTTCAAATCATTCAATGATTTGCCTTGGAACTTACACTCCCATTTTGTCCTAACCATCACTACACTTACATATGTTTTATTTTTTCTATTACCAGTATGTTCAGAACATTAGTGTGTGTATTACAGCATATGTTGTGATTGTTGGTGACAGTTTTTGTATTCTGTTACCATAATTTGAGTTGGTCACAAATGGGGAGCTCATGGGGATGGTTTTAAACAATGCAAACATAAGTATCAGCAACTAAAAGCAGGAAGAAATCCAAATCCTCCTGTGATGACATCTTGATTCTGCCAGTGTTAACTGGTATATATTTAACAGAGAGAAGTGTTATTGGTGAAAGGGTGAAAGATTTCTAATCAGATTAGAAAGTAAGAATATCTTTTTGTGTAAATGTGTTGTTTAAATAGTTGTCAGGCTACTCTGAGGGTGACTGACAACAAAGATTTACCACATTGATACTGCAAGTCAAATACTGTAAAATTGGAGGGTAGCATTTTTACATTTAGAAGGTGTAGTGGATTAACAAATGAGCAACTTGGAACACCCAGCTGAATTGAATCAGCATGGTTGGGCGTGAAGGATCCACCTGAGGATTGTTGTCAATAGCCATAAAAAGAGAACTGAAGGGGAAGCTAGTGGCCTGTTGATTTTCTAGGAGAAGCTTGCTGTGGATGGTTTTCCTGATGCAAACTTGGCTGTCCTCATGTTGGAGGAGCTCAGGGCCCTCGTTGTCAGTGTGAATGGTGGGTGTTCTCATCAGGGATCCCTGATCTTCACCGTGAGCATCACTTCCTGGTTCCAATGTAGATCCCTCAGCCTGGTGGCACAAACCCTTCATCTCACTGACGTAGGTTTTCTGGCTTCCACCACTGGCCTTTGGGCCTTCCACGTGCAGATCCTCGATACGGACAAGCATGCGACATCGCTCTGGGCTCTAGGCCTCTGGCTGGACTCCTGGAGGTCACTGCCTTGGACTTTAAGCCTTCAGCTGGACTCGTGTGGGACCCTGCTGGGATCCAGGCCCTCAGCTGGATTCTTTGGGCCTCTACTGTACGGTTAATCTGTTGTACTCCTTTGTATTTGACTTTTTGGGTAATTACCATAAAATAATCCTAGGTACTATGTGTCCTGTGATAAATGTATTCTCTTGCCAAAACCTCCACTACAACAGAAGGCAATTTTAAAGTTACCTTTTGCTGTTAACGAAATAATATAAAAGTTGTGGATGCACACCTTGTACTTCAAATTCACTCCAGGAGTCAGGAGGTGAGAGGAAATAAACATTGGTGCCTTTCCGGCATGGAATGTGGATTGTTCACTCTCACAGTGTCAAATCAATTATCCGGCTCACCTTAAGCTTCACCTGTTACCAATCTCACTAGGAAAATAAAACACTGTCACATACAGCCCATCTCTGCCAAGCAGGATGTATCAAGAATGTTGAGTCCAGATCTTCACGTGAAAAAGTAAGTACATAATTGGTTCATTAAATGTGCTGGCAAACTGAAAATTATACAGAGGTGTCATCAGCTCAAATTCTCTCTGGCCACTCAGGAACCTCAAGCTCCTGCAGAAGAGGGAGAATGAGTCCACCCAGATGCAGGTTCTGCTGCTCGCTGTTGTGTTCAGCATGGTTGGTGCTGACCAGAAATCTACATCTGAGATCGAACCCTCAGAGGTAACAGGGAAAGGTG